ATTCTAGTGGGAAAACGTTTATTGTACTAACAAATCTTTAGGCTAGAGTGATTAAATTATTAATTTCTTTATCCTTGATTAGTCTTGATTCCCGATCATTTTACGACAACATGTTGTTAATAGGTATTGAGTATGGATATTATTATTGTAAACTTGTTTCGTAAACTCGAGAAATAAGAATGTGTGAAATGTTTGTTTATATCTTTATTGTATATTTATTTCGGTAGATTTAAGAAGAAAGAAGTATATGTGAAATATTTGTTCATTATTATTTTTAATATACCTAACATTTTATTACGATTTTGGACTTGTTTATGGTACCTCCTAAATATTGAGAGCTCGACCGAAGTCTTTCCATTGTTTTTTTCTCAAAAACTCGTTAATTGAAAATTTTTGTCTAGCGGACAATTGATTTGAAGACAAATTGGGACAAGAAAATAGACACAATAATTTAATTAAAAGAAAACAAATAAGAATAATACCTTAAATATAAGTTTGTAAATTGTAAACAAGGTTCCAAACTGTAAAGATACGAGGCTTATTGTGGGTTATTGGAACAATCGATGTTGACAATTAGAATGGTGTTATAAACCAAAAAAATATTCGTATACACATAACAATTTAACTTACATTAGTAAAACGAGTAAGAAGAAAATATTTTTCCGAACGTCTAAATGTAAGTGTTAGTTACTATCGGACAAGATATTTAAAAATTATCAGAAATTATAAGAATTAAAAGTAAGTGCAAGAATTATCTACATAATTGTTAAATTGGCAAAGAAATAATGAAAATGGGAGTTTTGTGGGCACCATAGTTCATAATTGCAGTTTGATTTAAATGAAATAGTTATAATTTGTTGTCCATTTGTTAATGGCATCCCATACTGCCATTCGCCATCACATGGACTGGACACCATAATTAAAATCAACAAACTGGAAAGGGAATAGCATTGATTGATTTTGTGTTAAGGTCCCACTCACATGCAATGGCTCATTAGTCATCACCTTTCATCTTTCCAAATGTCACATTCCAACTAGCCCACAACCTCCACAAGATAATATTGACATGTTTAATGATAGTGTATTCAAGGGTACTCAACACTATATTT